TGATATTTTTCTTTAAGAAAATCAAAGTACTTTTACATAACTCACATACTGATATAATGAAGCCAATTCTCGCTTCATTTTACCATTGACAAAAGCCAAGTGAAGTGAATGAATTACCCTGATAAAAAATTTTGTTCCTTCCACTAGATTATATGGTCTCCAAAGTTTTAGATATTAACTGTTCTTAAGTATAAAAGAACAGGGCCCCAAGATAATAAAGATTATCTAGAAAAGATCCTAATTCATACTACTATCCCAAATACTCTACTTCATAAATTACATTTAAATTCAAAACAAGATTATATATAGGGAAGAAGAGAATGGAAATGAGTAAACAACCCAGTTGACTTGAAGATAGAAGAAGGGGCAAGTACAAATTTAGCTCTTCATCTCAAATTTTAAAAAGACTGGATGACAATATGTAAATATTTAATGATTCTCAACTATGTACCACATATCATATTACAGACATATCCTTTAATCCTCATCAACAATAGGCATTAATTCCATTTTATAGACAGGGAATTATGCTGAGAAAGGATAAATAATTTGCCCAAGATTACAGTTAATAGGGAGAGAAAGTGCATGATTTAATTCTATAGTTGATGTTCCAGTCCAAAACTAAGTTATACACAATTTTAAAATTGAATTTTATACTTTTGCTTGAATATGTTTCTGATGCTATGAAGCCCATAATACTTCTACCAAAATAATGAAACAATACAGATTCAAGGAAAAAGGGTATTTGCTAGTTGTCTCTATGCTGTCCTGCTCAATTTACTTATTAGTTCAGCTTAATAAAGGACACTGAAATTTAAAACATAGCCCATGCCCTCAAAGAAGTTTTAATCCAGCAATGACATACAAGCTAAAAATAAACATACACTCTGGCCAGTGTGGCTCAGTTGGCTGGAGCATTGTCCCCTATACCAAAAGGTTATGGGTTCGATTCCCAGTCAGGACACAAACCCAGGTTGTGGGTTCTGTCGGCAGTCGGGCCCATATGGAAGGGAACCAATCAATGTTCTCTCTCACATCAATGTTTCTCTCTCTCTTCCCTTCCCTCTCTTCCTCCCTTTTTTCTCCCTCTCTTCTTCCCTCCATTCCCCCCTTCCCCTCTCTCTAAAATTAATAAGCATATCCTCGGGTGAGGATTAAAAAAAATTAAATTAAATTAAAATAAGCATATAGATATCTATATATATAAAAGCCTAAGTGACTGTCCGACCATTCGACCATCTGACCGGTAGCTATGACATGCAATGACCACCAGGGGGCAGATGCGCAACACAGGAGCTGCCAAGCTGTGGTGACTTGGCGGCTGTGGTTCTCAGGTGATGTACCTAGAGCCTGATTCCGAGGTGTGTCACCCCAGAACCACCCTCTCGCAATCCAGAACCCCTTGGGGGATGTCGGAGAGCTGGTTTCAGCCCAATCCCCACAGGCCAGGTGAGGGACTCCACCTGCCAGAGGGACCTCACTCACTCCGCAGATGACCTTCAAGCCACAGTGCCACCCCAGGTGCAGCAGGCCGGGGAGGGACTGTGGGAGGTTGGCTCCAGGGCGTGTCTGGCCCATCTTGCCCAGTCCCGCCCCGCCGGCCACCTTCTAATTAATTTCCTTTCAATGTGCACGAATCAGTGCACCAGGGCACTAGTTATTATATAAAAAGCCAAAAGTGAGATGCTTTCACAGCTACAAGAAACAGAGTCCTGAATCACACAGCTGATTTCATCCTATATAGGTAGTCCTAAAGCAAGGCAGACTGAGTCCTTTCCAACTATAGACCTTGCTTCTTCTACATATTGTCTATTTACCTGATCAGCTCTTCTTGGGGCTACAATTAATTTTTAGCATACTTAACATTATTTAAGTGTTTGCTGAGCCAAGACTATTCTAAGAACATAACACTCATTAACTTATTTAATTCTTACAACCTACACGGTAGATACTATTATTTTTAACAATTTTATTAAATACCAGGCGCCCAGTGCATGAATTCATGCACCTTGAAAGGAACTGTGGGCCATGAGGCTGTGGTGGGCACAGGGGCGGGTCTCGGCCCATCCTCCGCGCCCCTGCCTGGCCCCTCCCAACCGGCAGCCCTGCTCTTGCCACTGACGCTCCCACACAACTATTGGGGCCAGTGGTGGGCACCAGTAGCAGGTGCGAATGATGGCTCCAGCGCCAGCAGTATGTGCAAGCGGGGCCGGTGTCGGCAGCAGGTGCGAGCACCGTTGGGACTGCGGCACGTGAGAGCAAAGAATTTTCAGAACCACCAGAGGCTCACCCAGATGACAGCGACTGGCGCCCCACCTTGTCTGGCGTCCCCGCTCACCTGCTCCACCATCCAGATGCGGCTGATGCCCGCCATGTTGCGTACTCGCCCTCTGGTGGTCAGCGCACGCATAGCAACTGGTTGTTTGTTGTTCACTTATTGTGCCATTTGGTCTATTTGCATATTAGGGTTTTATATATATAGATAACTCACATACTGTATAATTCACTCATTTAAAGTATACAACTCAATGGTTTATAGTATAGTCACAGACATGTGCAACCATCATTAGTCAATTTAGAACATTTTATCACCTGAAAAAGAAACCTAGTAACCTTAAGCTATCACTCCTCATCCCCCATAACTCTGAGCAACCACTAATTTATTTTCTGTCTCTATAAATGTCCCTTTTCCAAATGTTCATATGAGTGGAATAACATAGTGTGTGGTCATTTGTGACTGACTTCTTTCACTTACCATAATGTTTTCAAGGTTCATCCATGTTGTGGCATATGCAAGTATTTCATTCCTTTTGGTGGCCAAATAATATCCTATTGTATTGATATATTATATTTAGTTTACCTATTCATCCATAAATGGACATTCAAGTTGTTTCCACCTTTTGGCTATTAGAATAATGCTGCTATAAACATTTGTATACTAGTTTCTGTGTTGATTTATGCTTTCAGTCCTTTTGGGTTCATACCTAGGTTTGGAACTGCTGGGTCACAACGTTAGGGGCAAAAATAGAATATTGGGTACTAGCTATGGTTATGGGAAATATTAATCATGCTCTGTTAACCAAGATTGCCTTGTATTGGTTAGAGAAAGGACATTCTGACCTGGCTGGGAGTTGTGTGCCCCCAGGACCTGGGAGTCAACCTTGGACCTGGGAATCAACCTTGGAACCATTCTCATTCAAGAACTACTTCCCCGTGCCTGTAATCCCTACTTGCCCACATAATCTTTGTCCTACCCTATATAAGCAGCTGGTTTATGGGGGGTTGCAGAGCAGATTCTTGTGGATGACCTGCTGCTCTCCCATACTGCTGGCAGTATTGGAATAAATGCTCATATACTAGACCAGTGATGGGGAACCTTTTGAGCTCGCCATGTCAGCATTTTGAAAAACCCTAACTTAACTCTGGTGCCGTGTCACATATAGAAATTTTTTGATATTTGCAACCATAGTAAAACAAAGACTTATATTTTTGATATTTATTTTATATATTTAAGTGCCATTTAACAAAGAAAAATCAACCAAAAAAATGAGTTCGCGTGTCACCTCTGACACGCATGTCATAGGTTCGCCATCACTGTGTATGATTCAACCCTGTCTCTGCTTAATTGGCTCAAGTAGTGACAGGCAGCACAGACCCATTGACTGTCCAGTTACATGATTAACTCTGTTTAATCATTTTAAGAACTACCATAGTTTCCAAAGCAGCTGGACCATTTTACATTCCCACCAGTAGTGGGATTTGATTCTAACCATCCTAATGGTTATAAAGTGGTATCTCATTGTGGTTTTGATCTGCATTTCCCTAATTACTAATGATTTTTCTCTAGTAACTAATGTTCCCTGTGTATATTAAACCCCATTTTTATGAGAAAAACTGAGGTACAGAGAAATTAAATAACCTGTCTACGGCCACAAAGCTGGTAAGGGAAAAGCTGGGATTCTAACTCAGGCAGCCTGACTTCATAGCCCAGAATCTTACATTGTAATGAATGCTGCAGGAGGTAGTACTTGCATTTAACCCAGTGGAAGAGGACAAGTCTTTTCCAGGTAATTTGTTTTATCAGTTAGAAAATCTTCCCAGAAGCCATTCAGACTTCTCTATCTCACAGACTAGGTTTGGGTCACATGATTCTTTCTAAACCAATTACTGATAAAAACAGGGTCATCATAATTTGCTTATATTATTCAGGATTTCTATACAAAATCAGAGCTCTTCCAGAAAGAAAGGAGATACGAATGGCTCTTAGTCAGTTGCATAATAAATGTCTGCCACAGGTGTATATGAAAACAAAACTTGATTTTCTTGGTTATACCATCCTAGAAATGAAAGAAATGATCAGATATAAAAAGTTATCATTTAGTGCTAGTGTTAGTTGTGTAAATATGAGTAAATGGATAATAATAATTATCAATCAGTCAGTCAGTCAATCAGTGACTTAGCAACAAAGAAAGCAACCATTTCAATAAAGCAAAGAAAATAAGACTTGATGTAGGCTAAAGTCTACCTCTGAGAAATTAAGCCTTGACTATAGGAGCAAAACATTAAATAAGGAACATTTACTTGCCCATTTTCAAATAGCCAAAATATAAATTAACTGCAGTTTAAAACTGAAAAATGGCAAATACTCATTAATTGAAATATAGCATTTTTAATTATAAGATTTCAAAATACCTCTTCCAATAAAATATCATTATAACAAAATTTTTCATTCACTTTAAAGCTTTGTGAGGCTTAGCTAAGCTTTTCTGGAAAATGTAAAATTTAATTGAAAATAATTTTAAGTACACCCTAGCTGGTTTGGCTCAGTGGATAGAGCGTTGGCCTGTGGACTGAAGGGCCCTGGGGTTCGATTCTGGTCAAGGGCACATGCCGGGTTGCGGGCTCCATCTCCAGTAGGGAGCATGCAGGAGGCAGCCAATCAATGATTCTCTGTCATCATTGATATTTCTACCTCTCCCTCCCTCTCCCTTACTCTCTGAAATCAATAAAAATATATTTTAAAATAATAATAATTTTAAGTGCTATTTTACATTATTTTTGCAATTGTACTTGCAAAATACAATTAGATTTCACAAACCATATTTTTAGCACTGTACTCATTCATAATGAATAAATGGTTTTAATTTCCCATACTTTTAAAATATATTACTCATAAATTAGCATGTATGCTCCAAAAGTGATATAATACATATTAGTATTTGCTTCTTGTGGAGAGATTAGAAGATAAGTTTACCAGATCATTTAAGTGTGCATTAGAAACACTTTCAAAGTATCTATGCTGAATCCTAATTAAAAAAAAAAATTTAATGATGAGGCTTGACTTGGGGTGGTAAACACACAATACAATATATTATAGACTTGTATACCTGAAATCTGTATAATTTTATTAACCAATATCACCCCCAATAAATTCAATAACAAAAATTAAGGAATAAAAATTTTTTTAATGTGGGGGAGCAATTAAACAAATAATTACAAACCTAGCCTGCCTTTAGGTATAGGGTTTATCATGTAATTATAATACTGATCATTTAAAATTATCCAAAATGTCTCCAGCATTTTAAAGAGCTAAGCAGAGTTATTTTTAAAATCAAACATATGTGCTTTTTCTGTTTATGTCTTTGGAAAGAACATTCTGTATAATGAAAAACACGACCAAATTTTTCACAGTACATCACTATAAAACCCTATAATTGACTTTTGGGGTTGGTTTACTCTGTATCTATTTTTGACCATGTAGAAAACAGCAATGATGTGGTAAAAAGCCCAAAATGTAAGTCCCATTGCAGGATAAGACTCCATCCTGATTAGTATAGAAGTATCATGTTTATGCTGGGAAATGTGCCCATTTTCAAAGAGAAAATTTCAGTGCATAGGAGCCACCTCTTTTTTAATCAAGCCATGTGAAAACTAGTAACTCTGGTGCCTGGTCCAGACCTTGGATAGAACCTGGATGTTGTATGTGCTGATCCCCTCCAGTAAAGGCAGCTTATGTTGATGTTCTAACTAGTTGTTTGAAATAACAGTTAATCTAATGGAAGGTAACACTGGATATTACAATTTAACACTATAAATTAACCTTTAAAAATACAAATTAACAGCCCGGTCAGTGTGGCTCAGTGATTGAGCATCAACCCAGGAACCAAGAGATCACCTGTTCAATTTCTGGTCAGGGCACATGCTGGGGTTGTGGCTCAATCCCCAGTATGGGGCATACAGGAGGCAGCCAATCAATACTGTTTCTCTTTCACCAATGTTTCTATCTTTCTATCCCTCTCCCTTCCTCTCTACCCAAAAATCAATACAAACAAATTTGTAAAAAAAAAAAAAAAAATACAAATTAACATTTTAAAGTTACTATTCTCATGTCTTAATAAAGATTACATTTTAAAACTTAATCTCCCTGTAAAACCTATGAACTCAGTTATTCCGTGACAAAACTAATTTGTCATCCCTAACAAAAGGAATTTTTCTTCATTAAAAAGTCAAAAATATCTCTGAATGAGCCCTCCTGACTTCATTAATAAAATTTACATATTAGCAAGTAAAATAAACTAAAAGAGGGAGATGGTGTGTGGTTTAAAAATCAGCCCTGTAACACCTACCACAGATTTATCTCCTGTGAGTTGACTCAGCCATTCCTTTTTCTCAGTAAATAAACTAAATTCTAAGAAGGGTACTGCGGTAGAGTTTTTCAAGGGCCAAGTGAAGGAATATGTTTTAGATGGAATCTTTCAAATTGACAGCCTGCCCACTTTGGGTAGGTATTAAAGGGTCCACAGCACTTCATGAATTAGTTGTGGTTTACCTAAAAAAAAGTATGACCCAAGTTGCCACGGTCACTGCACATTCAATTTATCCCTATCAGAAATCAATGTGCCTTTAAACATTTTTAACATGTTTAGAAAAAAGACAAATTGACAGCTTTCTAGTAGCACTGTTGATTGAATGGCAGTCCCAATATATCATTTTAAAACCTAAAAGTATATTTAATATGTCAATATTTTTATTACTATTTAAGTCTTTCATAATGCATTACCTTTTATCCCTATGTTTTAATTGAACCATTAAAACAATGAATTAGTATTAACTGCCTAAGACTGTTTAATAGTTTTGCCAACTTCCTGAGGAGCTGTGCTACAAAGATGTTCACAGAATCCTCACTACTTTATGGTAAACAAAAAACTCCTGAAAATCCTTATGTGGATTACCTATAAAAAAGATCAGCTGAGCAACAGAAGAATCCCATACCAAGCTGACTAGAGAAATAAAGTATCACAAACAGATATCTGCTCTCACAGTAAGAAATATGTGAAAGCCTTAGCTGAGCAACACTGGAAGTCAGCAAGATCAGAATTAGTGGCAAAGGCTTGACCCAGATGTGTCACCGTCCTGGTACAGTATCTGGCAATAAATTCCTCATCCAAACAGATGAAACTGTCCAAAGTATTTTACCTGCATCTCTACATGAGACAGCTTTTAGATACATTATTAAATTGTTATGGCAAAGGTAAACAAAAAAAAGTTTCCCAGCCAACTTTTTCTTTCATTGGCTAACTTTCTCAAGAAAATTAAGCCTATGTTAAGGAAGGAAAAAGGAATTACCTTCTCATTAAGTCACCTAAGAAGAGTAATAAGTGGGCCTAAATAGTTTCTTCAAAATCACTGCACTGATCCTTTTACTGGAAATGTTTCCCAACCACATTAATCGTCTGTTTGATAACTAAAATTTGATTATTAAGCTCAAATTATTAAGGCAGTCGTAAGCCTTAAATTAGAGGCCTGAAAATGTCTAAATTTCAAGTGAA